TTGTATAAGTATATAACATATTTTAAACAAAAAATTCTATGTTAATAGAATACTACAGTATTACTTGACAAGTTAATCACCAATTAAGTTATGAGAGTCTGAGTAGTTTATTATTAATTAACAATTAATTGCAACTGTGATTTTTATAACTGTATAATTGGCAGGTATCAATAAATATTTCCATATGGTGTGTATATGGGAAAAATTTCGTGCTGCTATTCACAAAGATGTTCCATTAAAAATAATTTGGGATCACTTGGAATCCATGTACGACCTTGTGTCTCTGGTAAGTAACAACATATATAATAAAATCTATATTCTAAAATGAAGTTATATCTAGCATCGTGTTAGGATAAACAAGTTTCTATAAAATTATTTTAAACATATAATACATTTTGTACATATATGTATATAATGTCCTGTAAAGACCAGAAGAATGGGAGAAATAATGCCTGAGATAATTTTGAGATAAAAATTCTAATATCAAAAAAGCCAAGAGAAAATATTTTTTTTTAACATAATAAATATTAATAATTAGAATTATCAGTAATTATATCTTTGCTATCTTTTTATATAATTTTTATATCGATGTGAGTATCAATATTTACAAGAGACAATTATATTTCAATTACTTTTCACTTTTAGCATTTTGCGTTGTTCATACTTGAATGTGCAAATTGGTGATATAATTCGTTAACTTTAAATATTTATAATTTATAATTCAAATTATTACAGTCTTGACATTATTTTGATATTAGAATTTTCGTCTTAATCTCTTTCGTAGGAATCTCTCCTTCAAGCGTTCGTTTTTATGGGACACTTTGTATATTTATTTACATATTGAATTTTTTGATAGGACGATATGGAAGGTTTACCTTTTCCTGGTCACGAGATAGATTTTTCTTTACCGGAGACTGAATTTGTGGGAAAGCCACGGAAAAAGGAAGAATTAGAGATAAAATTGAAAGATCAGAGGGATAAATACAAGGAAATTAAAAAGGAAAAAGACATCAAAGAGAGTTCTAAAAAAGATAGCATGTTACGTGATTTTAAAGGAACCAAAGATGTGGAAAAGAAAAAAGAAGAGATTAAAAAATGTGTGAAGGAGATAGATATAAAAAAGGATAAGTTTAAGGATATGAAAGAGACAAGGAAAGAACATAAATCATCAAAAGGACGTTCAAAAGGGAAGGAAGATTCAGAAGAGAGCGGTATTTTAATATTTGGTTTTGATTATTATTTAATATTTTTTTCCAAGAGTTGCACACACAAATTGTATTTTCATTTCTTTTAAGCATCAAATGGAAAAAAGGAGCGTAAAGAATCCGAATCTAGTCGCGAACTCACGAAAAGGATTCCAAAGAGACCAACCAGACAAAGCGTGGATAGTTCTTCCAAAGCTTCTTCTAGTCCACGCGATACACCTCCACCAAAACGAAGAAGAATATAATAATTATTAGAAATTAAATAGACATTGTTGCATGTCTAAGAACTTCAGTTATGTAACTCATCATATTATCACTATACAAGGCCAATATTATAGTTATCTATTTTTATAGCCAATTGACATGCTTGAAAAATTTTGTACTAAAAATGGACAATTATAATATAAGTCTATACTGTTTTTAATGACATAAATGTACATATAGAAAATAAATCGATTTTATAAAAAAAAATTATATGCTGTAAATAAAATGCTATAAATAACTAAATATCATTATATCTTTTTAATTAGCTTTTTAAGTGCTTTATACTGGTTAGATTTCTGCTTTCAAGATTTACTTTTGACATATATGCATATATCTTAAAAATATAGAATTTTTACATTCCAATGAAGAATATCTGAATTTCAGATTAATTTCATAGTTAAAAAAAGATATATAATCCTATTCTAACACCAAGAGAAAGCAAAGATGAATAGAGAGAAAACAAAAATGAATAGCAAAAATGTAAATATATTATATTAATTATCTTTAGATTGCAAATAAGAAGCACTCAGTAATTTATAATTTATCGCTAGAGCTTACAAGCTGGATGTGGGAGCACAATGACAACATCATGAAACTTGTGGTTACCAGCCAAGATTTATTGTAAAAGGCATGGAATTCTTATGCATCAGGAATGTTTCAAGAAAATGCGATCCTGTTCCGCGATCGGCAACATCCTCTCGATCTCGAGAAGCACGTGGGAAGCAGAAGTCTGTTGTCGACGATCCATGATATACGATCCTTGATCCATAATCCATGTGCAGGAGCGATCCACGTTCAGGAAATGCGTATCTGCTGAAGTCCAGTAGTAGTAGTAGTAGTAGTAGCTGGCGACCGTTTTTTTTCCGGCATTAATAAAAACCTCACGTTATCGAAGTCTTCTCGCCTCGCGCTCGGATTCGAGCAAGGTTAGGAGGTCGCCCTCTCGTACCGGTCCCTTTACGTTCCTGATGATCTGCCGATTCTGCTCGCCCAGGAATTCTACTTTCACCTGGGTGCACTGCCCCTGCGAGCCAGTGCGACCCAGAACCTTGATTACGCGCGCCAAAACGACTGGTTTGTCCATGATCGTCTCTTTTTCACGTGGACTATGACTCGAAAGAGATATCTGACGCAAATGGAAGAAGCACGCGTAGACGAACCGCTTTTCTCCGTTCGATTTCCGGATTTCCGGTGAGTCGCTGCTGTCCAAATACGTAATTTTTGAATGAAAACGAAATCATATATAAACTCACTTTCATTCGTAAAAATGAATGTGTCGAATGAAACAAAAAGATTAAATATTAATGAAATATTAGAAAATATTGTATATTATTGCAATTTATTGAATTTACTATGATTATTGTTACATTATTTATTCGAGCAAAAAAATAATGGTCTTTTTTATTTGTGAGTAATAATAACAATTAAAATTACAGTAATTTGTTTGCAATTTTTAATTAATTTTCTTTTTTATTAGAATTGTCGACGTTTTGTTGAATTTTTCATTGTTAAAGTACAATAAAGTCTTGTCAATATTAAATTATTAGTATTGCGAAATTTATTGAATTAAATTTTAAATATACTTATATACATCTATATCTTAACATTTAAAACATTAAAATTTTAAAATTTTAACTACTAGATAGAATTAACTGCTTGATAAAACTAATGCTGTTATATCTTTCGCATGTGTTAAATTTCATCAGTTATCATAGTTAAATATCTAAAAATATAGATCTAAAAAAATATCTAGAAATATAATTAAATATCTAGAATATGTAGATGACGCTTTTTTATTTTTATTAGAACTATTCTCACAAAGGAGATGGAATAACATATAAATTAAATAGTGCTGAGTACAATGAATTGGCGCACAAAAATTACCTATTTTGTATACATAATTAAAATAATTCACAAGATTTACCTGTTTTCTTAAAAAGACATTAATTAATTCTTTTTAATTTACCAATTTTTTTGTTAAAATAAATCGTGTTAACCTAAGAAATTTAAAATTATTGAGAATACCAGTAACTTATCGGATTTAATATCTTTTTAAATGCGTCTGTTATGTCACAATATTTTTATTCATCTCGCTTAACAGTTTCACGTGATAAATAATAGAGTAATCAAATTACAATAAAATGTCATTATATTTTGACACAAATACACTATTTCATAATTATTTAATATAATAGTAATTCATATAAATAACAGCTTGATACTGTAGGCAACAATTAAGATGAGCTTCTTTAAGTCCCTCTTGGTATAGCTTTCACTGATTATCAGGAATCACTTAGAGTGATTTATTTGTTTATTTATATTAACGCAAATACTTGTCAAAAAATACTGCGTTTCGCTATACTCATATATATAGTGTGTCGCGCTTTTTTCTCGACTATAGATTCATTAGAAATTAAATTTGGGCTTTTTTGTATTGACAATCAAATCTCACATTAAAAGTAACGTAAAATAAAAAAAAAATAAGACTATTATTTTATTCACATTTCTGAACTTATAATTCATTACGAATTACTATAATCCTAGTTATAGAACCTGTAAGAAAAAGCGCACAATGCTTAAACAGTCTGTATAATCATCATTATCGGTATTTTGAAAGACAGGTTGTGATTATACATCTAAGTATAGTAGTGCCTCCCAAGTATTAAATCATACTGAACAATGTATTAAAAAATGTTGCTCGTAAAATGTTTCATGATAGTACAGAAAACCATAATTAATAATTTATTACATAAATTATCAAGTTATTTGTGATTGCAAAGATCTCCTAACAATTTTCTTTTCAAAGGAACATTTTATACATAATTTTTATGCATTATTATTCAATTTAATTTAATTAAAATGATATATCCAATCAAAATGCTCCAAAATTCTTAGCACCAATATATGACTTATGGATTTTTCTCATATTTCATAGATATTCATAATAAATAAATTGCTGAACTATTTAAATTTCATTGTCGCAACAGTAATATATTCTATATCTTACGCAAATGTAAAAAATGCGTTATATCTCGCATTCATATTATTTTGTATTTATTTACTAATACAGAATAAATGTGGACACATATTGCACGTGTCGAATATAATACCTTAAAAATAAATTGAAAATCCAAGTCTTTTCACGTCAACTAACAAAATTCGTACATATGCAATGTACATCTTTGAATCAGCATTGGAAATCGGTATGGCTTAAGTGAATTCCATTTTCGGTATCGTTCCATGCGAGAAAATGTGCTTCGTATTAACTGAAATATTTTCATTTTATCGAATGAACTCACAAAAACACAGCAATTCTAATAATCAAATTCAAGCTAATAAAAATTATACCGTTTTCCACTAATTCGAATGAATGCTTATATTGAAAATGGACCCTGATATATATATTTCAATTGCAATTACAAAAAGCTTTCATTGTAGCAACATAATTTTCACCATGAGGTACATATTTAGTGTCACACAAATAACTTCTTACATTCATTCAAAGACTTGTCTTATTTTTATTCCAGTTTCTTTTTTTCTCAACAGTAACGTTGAAAGCTGGTGGAGGCTTTCAAACAAAAATATGTATCTACTTGAAGCTCTATAAACATTGACGAATTATGTGTTGAGACAACAATCGAGTATAATTTTTCTTTTTTCATTTTAGTGTCTCCGTCGTCAGTTCTATTACTTTCCAAAGCAATGTCCAATCGATGGACATAGAAATGTGTTATTACATTGGATAATAAACTGTCGACATTAGTATATAACACTGAATGAGAGATAATCAGGCTAACAATATTCGCAATAATTTTACTGCCATAAGTTTGTGGAAAGGGTCTGCCCAGGTAGCGCGGCAGCGGCAGGCTTGCCTGTAGAAGCAAAATTCATATCGCCCAGAGACATCTGCGACATTTGTTGCGGCAACTATAACATCATGAATTATGTCATAAAAATAAGATTAATTTGATCTAATGTAAATAACATTACAAAGTTTTGACAAAAACTTTGTATATTTATATCTTGTAGAAATTATATATGATCATAAATTACATAAAGCACTTAAAATTTACATACCTGAGCGGTAAATGCAGTAGTTTGTTGTTGCTGTGCTGTTAAATTAAAGAAGGGATTGCTACCGGGAGCTGGTTGAATATTCTGTGTCAACATTCCACTCCATCCATTATTACTAGCAATATTACTTTGTCCTAACTGCATCATCTATGAAATCGGAGAAAAAACTCAAAGTATAAAAAGCATGAATAATTACGAACATACGAGCAATATCATATAAGAAAAGAAATATTATATACCATTTGAGGTGGCATTGAGATAGCAGCATTAGGTACACCATTTAATTGATTCATTGGACCTATATGTAAACCTAAAGGATTGGCTGCTACAGCACCTATCGTGGTGTTAGGATTTGCTATAATTTGATTTTGATTGACAGGTATCTGATTTGCGACCGGTATTTGCGTGGGAAGTTGGCCGAGTTGACCCAATGAGCTTTGTTGCCCAAATACACCCACATTAGGCATTTGCTGTTTATATGGTATAGAATGTTGAGGATACACTCCTCCTGAAATATATCATATATGTAAAAAAACATAATTTATTTATCAAATTTCATTAATATTGCATACATCATTTTTGTTTTATAATACCTGAGACACCATAAATAGCTGGTTGATGACTTGGAGTACCATATAATGCTAAAATACTGTCTTTTGTCATCTTGCTTTTTTCCTGAGGTAGCGGGGTCGATTGATTAAAGAAGCTCTCCTCTTCGCTTTTACTTGCAGTAGTTGTTTTACTTCCATTAGAATCATTTCCAGTTGACGCTACTGAAGCAGGTGGTGCAGACAAAAAGGAAGAAAATACATCGTCCCCAGAACCATTTACATTTGTTTGGTTAGTTGTTGGCGCATCTATTAATAACAATGTGAAATGTATATGTTAGAAAACCTATAATTTTATAAATTATTCAGAGTATATTATAATTCATACACAAGGAATATACAATGCGGTTCTTTGTACAAGAAGCAATTTTTTCCTATTTCACAAAGTGTATTGTTGTATTTTTATTACAAGAAAAAATTGTTTCTTGACAGAGAACTGAATCATGAATTTCTATATGTGTCTGGGACATCCTATACACATAACATACCAAGACCTAAGAGATCAAGGATTGCAGAATCTTTTGTTCTGCCCAGTTTAGGACTGACGGAACTTCGAGGTTTTGGCAATTGAGGCACTACTTCCGGTTTTTTTACAGGGGGGAGTACAGTAGTCGTAGCTTCCGAATTTTCCTTTTTTCGTCTGCGTTGTCTTTCGGCTTCTTCATCAAGTTCTTTGTCCCAATTTACCTATGAAAATTATTTATTAATTAAAACAATAAAAATAATCTTTTCTGCAAACATATATAAAATTCAATGTGTGTGCGTGTGTGTGTGGAGCGCGCGCGCGTTATGTAAAATAAAATATCAATTTCTTGCACACAT